AAAAATCCCACTATTTAGAAGACGGTAAAACAATTGAAAATATGAATGCATTGATTAACCTAAAATAATTAGATATAAATCACTGGGCCTTAAGTCCTAATCCGTTTTAACATCGTATTTTTTTCTGTCTAATTTTCCAACCCACTGCTAGATTTTATTATAAATATCAAAACAAACTAGGTGATAGAGCAAGAAACATCTTTGTGATTGTGATAGAAAAGACCCTCAAAACACCATTGATCATGTCGCCGACGGGATCCCCGACGAACAGAAGAGTAGAAAGGCAACCGGCAGCGATGCCCTCCTCCGTAGATCTTTTCCTTCTCGCTATATATCCTAGTGTTATTCCTTGCGAAATATGGCTACCCCTTATTGGCCACCTTACCCGTCTTGTTCCTGGCGTTAATGAAGGAGTTGGACAAGGTTGATGATGCCGGCGGCGGCGGTGGTCACGCCGACCTCAGCGTTGGTGGCCAGCTGCCGCCACGTCATGATGATGGTGGTAAAGAGATGATTAGGGAAGCGCTGATGAGTTGGGAAGAGGAAGTGATGGTCATTGAAGCACAGCTGTTGGAGGCCAAGGCAGCCGTCAAACATTTTCACCGCCGCCTCCATCGTCCGAATTGCATGGAAGGCACTTTCACGGACGCTGCCGCCCACCGTCGCGCTCAGGGATAATTACTATGGGTTAATGTTATTTGATAAATATTGTTTAGATATATTGGTTGGTAGATTATAATCGGTACATTATTGGTATTTGAGTTACATTATGACCGTATTAATTGATACATATATACACCATTTATGATACATATACCCATTCGATTTCTCTTATGAAGTGATATTGTCATGTTTTGTTTTTGTCCTTTGGGGTAATTAGGATTCGTTACGTACAAAGTCCTAATTATAAAGAGTGTAAAAAAAGTGATTGTTCTCGAAAGGTTATAATTTTCTCACTAGCTTGATCCATTGTGGTTGTGAATTCGCATTCATATGAGCATTGTGCAGTGAAGACCAAATCCAAATATACTTAAAGAGTTCCTAAAGTGATGTTATGTACTTTTTTCTGCCTTTACTTTGATACTAATTAGCTCGCCTTTACTTTCGTTACACATTTCTCACATGTACTTAGTTTACTCAACTTGTTTCATATTTACTCCGCACAATCTTTGATTCGAACAGTGATGACAATTTTTTATTTAATTCGCGCGATCTAATATGTCCTGACCTGTTTAGGGTGGGTATTACCTGATCGATACTAACGTGGGGTGGATATGTATGAATATTGCTTTCGATATGTTCCATTCTCAACCCGTTCTATAATGATTTGCATCAATATATACATGTATTTATCCACTTTTGACTTTTTAAAATTATACTTGTTTATAACTCTATTTATGTTTAATTCTCATGAACTATTTTCTCCAAGTGTTTGGCGCTTTTTGGCAAAGGGAAGCCACCAGATTTGGTGACACCTAATCTTAAAGAGCGAACGGGTCGGGCTAATCAGTCGGCCTGATTTAAAGCTGTAGGCTATGCTTAGAGCCGTAACTGTGACCCTTACTACCCGTCAGCCCAACCCGACCGGACCCAACCCTATGGGTCGGGTAGGGTCAATTAGTCTTTAGGGCTAAAATAGAGTCTGGCTGGCCACATGCTGACCCTAGAAGGTAGGGTATTTTTGGGTTTACCCTTAAAACCCATTCAGTCCCATTTTAACCCATTTTAACCCTAAAATTACCCCAACCCATTTCGGCCCCAGCACCTGCCGCCGCATCTCCTTCATCCTCTGCGCTGGTCCAGCACTCGGGTTCGCCCTCCGCCGCGGCCCTCTCCTGCCCCCCGCCGCAGCAGCTTCCCCTCGTTCTCGCTCCCCGTCGCCTCCCCGGCGCGGCTGAACTCGCACGACGTGTCGTCGAAGGAGAAGCTCCTGGTGGAGTAGCAGAAGCTCTCCGTTTCGTCGACGACGCCGTCTTCTCGTTCCTCCTCCTCCTTCTCGTCTCACAAACTCAAGGTCAAAATGGCAGTAATGATACTCATCTGATCAGGACCTGCTCCTACTATTTCCTAGTGCTAGCTTTTGCTTGCCATTTCAGGGGTCTTATTATCTCATCACAATTTAAACAATTGACATGATTGAGTATCAAATTATATGCTACCAAGGCACTGGTTTCTGCTTCCAGTTTTGGGGACCCAAATTACAACTTCTATTGAATCTAATTTAGATTCTATATTTTCATTGGCCCTCTGTGAGATTCCTCTCACTTTGCAATTTGCCATGAGTAACTAAGAGTTCTTCTTAAAGTTAATAGTTTAGCAGTCTGTGATGCATCCCTATAATTATAATCGCATGCTTTTGGGATGAATGAATGGTGGTTGTATTATTTTGCTTTATAATCTATATATATCATGTTGGTCCGACTGTGTTAGATGGAATTGTGTTGTGAATTTATGTTGATTAGGGAAACAGTTGGTTCACAACTACAACAGTTGGTTTTTTTCTGACTTATGCTCATGCCAAAGAACATTACTGAAACAAATTTAACAGGCTGGTGAATGGCAGTGGGATTTGGGGTGTAAGATAAGATAACGGTGTAGTTGTTTGACTATTGCAGTTGTGTATAATGCAATTTTGCTCTTATCTTACAACTTCTTAGGTAAACCTCCTGCTCATTTTAAGCTATGATGGTTGATATTGATGTTTTTAGTTCATGATCCGCATCCCAGAGTACTATGGAATTGAGAGAATGCTGCGCCATCTTACCATTGATGTTGTTAGTTTTCCCCGTAAAACTGAAAGTTCAGGGAACTAATCCTACTACTTGACTTCTTATTTTTATTCCTGGTCTCTGATTTTTTTGCATCGAATTGATGATAAGCTTGTGTCATGGAATAGATATATGCTTGCTTAATTTCCCATTTTCATTGTATTACCAAATATGGAAAATTGTCTAGGTGTTAGGCTTGTGGAAGCCATTGTATTCGCATATCTGTTTGTAACGGTTGCATACCTTTAAGGCATTGTTGGTGAGAAGTATTAGGGGTCGTTTGGATGACACATTCTGATGAGTCAATCCTCCCCAATTGACTCAAAATGAGACAATTGGGCCAAATTGGCTCATTTGGCAGGACAAAAATGAAACGAAACATTTTGGACCGAGTTAATTGCAATTGCTTCGTTAAGGGTGAATGTGAAATACCTGGGTGGGGGGCAGACAATCTGCTTTGACGCGTTTTTGGGGCCCTCTTTCCGATTGTGACCTTCGCTAGTTTCTTCCTCTCTCTTCCCCGAGATAACCTTTCCTCTTCTCCTCTTTCCTCTCTTTCTCTGGTCTTCTTTCTTCCTTTTTTTCCAGCAGCGATAACAAGATGCAGAGGTGAATGCTGAATCGCTCGATTCGTGAGCCACCGCCGATGACTTGCTCGATCTGAGCTCAATTGGTGGCGACGGTGTTGTAGATGCAGAGGATGGCGACGATGGTGCTGGAAAGCAATCCTGGTGGCCGATAGTTGTGGCTGGGTGTAGAAGGGGAAAATCATTGCCAAACATCGTCGCCGGTGAAATTGGCATGCTTTCTTTCTCTTCTCTTCTCTGTTTATTTTTTCATTTCTATATAAGCTTTGGGAAAACAAAGATCCCATCTAATTGAAGGTGAAATCTGACGACAAAGAGGAAGAGTGAAGTCTGACGGCGATGAGGGAAGAGTTGACCTGGGTTCGTTGTCCGATTGGGTTTGTGATTTGGAATATTTGGAAATAAATGAGAGTTCTGCATGTAAGTAAGTGGTGGGTCGATCTGCTCCCTGCGAGCAAGATTTTTCATATCAAACAGCCATTGTTCCTCCTAAGCGGCGGTGATTATGGATTCTTCCTATTTCCTGTAGGGTTTTCAATTCAGTCAAGCTAATTCGTTTCAGATTTTAGATGCTATGTTGTAAATGGGTTGGGTTTGTTTTCTGTTGCTTCGATTCAGTCAAGCTTCGGTTCAATCAAGCTTTGATTCGGGGGGAAATCTGATTGCTTAGTGAGGGAGTCTTTTACCTGGGTTTGGGGTTGTTTTCCATTGCTCTGTTTCTAAAAGGGTAGTCTGTGTGCGATTTGGAGAGCATTCTATGCCAAGCACAAAGAGGAAGAATGGAGGAGGAGGGTAAGATAACAAGGGCAAAAGTGTATTTTCAATAAATGTCTCAAATAACAAGCCAAACAAGACAATTTGAAACAAATATACCATACAATTGTCTCATTTTGTAAAATGAGACATTTACACCAAATTGTCTCATTTTGGAAATGCTCCATCCAAACGACCCTTTAGTACTTTTGACAGCATGTATGAGTTGATTTTATATGTATTATGGTTAAGGATATATCATTCCCTTCTGCTTAGTTTTTATTATGATAGACCCTATCACAAGGCTATACATTGGTAATCTGGACAATGCTGAGTTTTTATTATGAGTGCTGTGCCTCATAGGTAATTTAGACTTTTTAGATGTAATTTTCATTTTTTGATTTGGATTTATCATAAGGTGATCTAGACTCTTTTAATTTTCTGGAATTAATTTTGAGTTTTTCGAATTAATTATGATTTTTGGTATAGGAATTTGGACTAACTTAAATTTTTTGGAATTAGTTGGAATTTTTGTAATCAAACTTTTATTTTTTGAATTAGTTTAAATAATTTCTTTATTTAATTTAGATTATTTTTGTTATGAACTCATTTAAATTTTCTAGTATATACCTGCAATTTTTTGAAATTTAATTTGATATTAAATAATTAAGTGGTTTAATATTGTATAAAAAGAAGTTGGGCCGACCCTATGGCCCAGCCCCGCCCGACCCAACAGTGCCAGACAGGGCCAAATGAGAATAGGGTCGGGCCAAATATTTGAGTATACAGGGCTGAGTTTTTTGGGTAGTGGTTGGGTCAGGGCTGGGTTTGGCCTAGTTTTTTTTGTGAATTTATGCTTAACTTTTCGGCCCAAACAGGGCCTGCCTGAGCACTACGCCATCCAGTCCATGCGAATTGCAATCGAATTTTTTTTTTTTCTGGATTTCTGGAAGAAATTTTGGGTGGCCGGCAGGGGGAAAGAGGGGAAATTGGAACTGGAAGGACAATATGGCGACCAGAGGATTGCTGCTTGGTCGCTCATTTCCGTTGCTGCTAATCCACAGCAGCAAGACGGTGAAGCTCACTCATGGCTATGGCCGCCGCTCCTCTTACTCTTTTCTCGGCGAGAGCTGTAGTCCTTGTTGGCGGCAGAACAGCGCGGCGAGGTTTTCAGCGAAAGCATTGTCGAACGAGGAAGCGCCGGACGTCCGGCGACTGGCTCAAACCGCTCGAATTTCGCTCACTGAACAAGAGGTAATCAAGCTCGGAGTCTGATTTCTTCCTCTCCCTTGCTCTGGTTTCTGATATAATTTGTGTGTTCGATTTTCCAGGTGGAGGATTTCGGCCCCAAAATCCAACAAGTGATTGAATGGTGATTGTTTAGAATCCCTCGCTTCCAGTGTTGGATTTTGGAAACACTCGAGGGAGAGTACTGGGAAGAATTTTTGTGGGTTTGTGTTTGTAGGTTTGGGCAACTTCAGGGTGTGGATCTCAAACAAGTCGAGCCTGGGATCCGAGCAGCAACAGCAGCAGGCAAGTGTTTTTTTCCTTTATCCAAGGTTCTGGATGGTTAAAATGTTTGAAGAAAGATTACAAATGTACTTAATCCAACTCTAATGTTGTGGGTTTATCATAATATACAAAAAGATGGGACCTCTGAATTCTGATGATGGGAGTTAAAATGTTTGATCAAAGATTACACTGTACTTGAACCCAACTACTAATACTGTGGGTTTATCATAATATGCAAAAAGATGGAACCTTTGGTGATGAGAGTTAACAGAAACTCGTGTAGAAATGGACTGTTGGGATCGAAGTTTCAGCTCTTCCATTACAGATGTTGATTAACGAGTGAACGACGATGAAGTGATCTTAATAACTCGAGGTTTTTGTAGATTGTTTAATTCTTGTGGCTGTGTGTCTTGTGGTATCGATCTCATTTGTGATTTTCGTTGTGTGATCATCAGAGGCTGAAGAAGGAGTGAACTTGAGGGACGATGTTCCTGTAACATTCCCCAAAGCGTAAGTCTCTCTTCCTCATTTGTGGTGAAATAAGTTCTTACTAATTAACAAGTGCTGTGTACGAGAATGAGCTTTTTGAAGGGTAATCTGTGTTTGATAAACAACATGCTATCTAAGTGTTCTGTGCTTTCAAATCCCAGGGATGCCATCATTGAAGGCCTTCCAAGCTACGACGCGCCTTATGTTCGAGTTCCTAAATTCTTGCATAAGGAGGATTGACTTAACGAGCCTACATATCTCACATCAATCTTCCCAGGAAGTTTTGGCTGGGTGTGTGTCCTGTCTGTGCACTAAACCTTTTTTTATTTCTTACTGAGAGAGAGTAGTACGCAGGTTATATTGTTGTCCCATTTTAGCATTAATTCGATTCCATCAAATTGGTTTAGGTAATAGGACAAGGAGTAAGGTTGTGATGTGTAGCACACTTAAACTTTCATTGACTTGGAAGCATTAAACATTACTCAATACGAGCAGAAAGCTTCAGGTTGTTATTCGCGTGAAGGCTTTGCATTTAGCTAGCTGGGGTTGAGTGAATAAGTAGGAATAAACAGTGCAGAAAGAAGCACCTCAACCAACCTAAGCAGGGGAGGTTGATGGATGCAGAACCAGATCAAACATCCATCACAAACAGACAGCTAGCAATTAACAAGGAAACAAAAAGGGACAAGGAATGAAACCATTTACTCGAAGCATTAGGCAATTAAGGTAGGTAGTTGAATCATAGAACATACTGACAAGCTTTTGCTGATTCACTTCCCATTTACTCTGACAAAGTTGGGCTGGTGATGAAGTATATATAACCAGCTAGCTAGTAACTCCATTAATTACCAACTCCTCCCATGCACGTTGATGAACCTTGTTGAGTTACTAAAGGAAACGACGCCTCAAAGGCAAAGCCTACAATAGAGAAGTGTATACTATAGTTTTTGTCCTGTATATTAGCCATTAGAGTTTAAATAGTTTGTAGAAATCATTGTACAGGGTAGCAATTTCTTTTCTGATCTTTGAGCAATACAGGAAAAACGATCGAGAATCGTTCCGCAACCCTTCGTGTTTTGTACAAACAAACATTCTCAAATTGCTCAACAATGAGATCGGAGACACTTGCAATCGTAGCTGCCCTGTCTTCTTTCTTGTCAGATACGGTAAGTCACTCGTGAAAAAACTTCAAATCGAACGATTTTCGCAAAGGTTTTCGAAGAATCATTCAACGATACACTGTTCTCGCTTCTTCGTCGAAAAACGAAGAGTTTCCAACTTCAACAAGGCTCAAAAATCGTTTTCGCACAAAATATCAAGGTAAAACCTCACTTCTTTCTTCGAAATCCATCCACAGAACAATAGAACAGTATCGCAGTCACTCTCCATGCGTTGCTGAACTGATGTAGAATCTGTTGTGTTTTGCTTCATTACCATATGGTAATGTGTGGTAAATTAAGATTGCATGTTCTAAAATAACAAAAAAACCATAAGTCCTGCTGTGTTTTGCTTCGTTACCATATGGTAATGTGTGGTAAGTTAGATTGCATGTTGTAAAATAGCAAAAAACCATAAGTCCTGCTGTGTTTTAGTTTTACCATATGGTAATGTATGGTAAGTTATGGTTTCATGTTGTAAATAGCAAAAAACCATAAGTCCTGCTGTGTTTTAGTTTGTTACCATATGGTAATGTCTGGTAAATATGGTTTCATGTTGTAAAATAGCAAAAAACCATAAGTCCTGCTGTGTTTTGTTCGTTACCATATGGTAATGTCTGGTAAACTATGGTTTCATGTTGTAAAATAGCAAAAAACCATAAGTCCTGCTGTGTTTTTAGTTTGTTACCATATGGTAATGTCTGGTAAACTATGGTTTCATGTTGTAAAATAGCAAAAAACCATAAGTCCTGCTGTGTTTTGCTTCGTTACCATATGGTAATGTCTGGTAAACTATGGTTTCATGTTGTAAAATAGCAAAAAACCATAAGTCCTGCTGTGTTTTAGTTTGTTACCATTGGGTAATGTCTGGTAAACTATGGTTTCATGTTGTAAAATAGCAAAAAACCATAAGTCCTGTTGTGTTTTAGTTTGTTACCATATGGTAATGTGTGGTAAACTATGTTTTCATGTTATAAAATAGCAAAAAACCATAAGTCCTACTGTGTTTTAGTTTGTTACCATATGGTAATGTGTGGTAAACTATGGTTTCATGTTGTAAAATAGCAAAAAAACCATAAGTCCTGCTGTGTTTTAGTTTATTACCATATGGTAATGTGTGGTAAGCTATGGTTTCATGTTGTAAAATAGCAAAAAACCATAAGTCCTGCTGTGTTTTAGTTGTTACCATATGGTAATGTGTGGTAAGCTATGGTTTCATGCTATAAAAATGGAGGAAAAACATCCTGTTGTGTTTTACTTCGTTACCATATGGTAATATGTTATATGACATGCTTTGATGTAATTACCATATGGTAAAATGAGATAAATATATGGTTTGATTTGGTATGGTAGGAAACCATTATGGTACCATATGGTATATCATGGTAAAAAGCACGCTAACAGACTATTCCTAATTTCTACATTCAGGTACACTATGGTAAAGCAAAGAAAAAATTTTCGCACAAGGTGCAGCCCAACAAGAATATCTGCAATTGCAAGGACTATAAAAGATGACCAGAAAGAGAAACTTGAGATATTAGGCCTAGCAGGCTTAATAACAATCAAGCAGACAAAGATAAACAACAATTTTGCACTGTTCGTAATGAACAAATACAATCCAATGAAACAATCTTTCAAGCTACCTGACGGGACACGCATGAAGATATCACCAATCGACTTTCATAGGGTATATGGTCTGCCAATGGGGAATAGGGAAGTTGTACCTCCCACGATTTCTTGGGACGACGCAGCAGATTATGCAGTAGAAACCCTACTGGAAGTAGATGGAAAATCCACTCCAAGGGTAAAGCTAAGTCAGGTAGAAAAAGATCTTTCTACAGTTACCAACAGTAAGAGATGGTTACAATTATTCTTTCTGCTGGTCACCGGAGGCTTGCTGTGCCCAAGTTCAGCCCCTATGGTTGAACTCAACATGCTTGAGTACTTGAAGACTGATGAACAGAAACATTTCACCAGCTACAACTGGTGCAAATACTTCTTCAACCACATGAATGAATGATTGAAATCACCAAAGCTCTACGTCAATGCAGATCTTCACTTCCTTACAGTAAGTCTCCATTCCCTTGGCCATTTCAACCTTGTTACTCATATATTTTATATATAAATGATACTCTTTGAAAAAACTAATACAACTATCTGCATAAAAAGGTATGCCTCATGTACAAACTGGACGAAATGGCATTCTCAACCCAGCTTCGAACACCAACAGTAAGCTACTATGATGATAACAATGTTGATAGCAACTTTGAGAACATTAAGAGCTACTACAATGGAAAACAGTTGAACGAGATCGAAAAGGTTGCCAACATTAGAGACGATGAGGCTGATGATGAGGCTGATGACGCAGCTGATGAGGAAGAGGAGAATGAGCCAGTCTATGAATCACCGAAAAGACAAAGAAACAAAAGTCCAGAGCAATCATCATCACTGAACTTTGATTTGAAGAATATCAGAACAGTCAACCAAGTAAGTACAAATTATCTATATTACAGTTGTCCAATTCAAATTATCTATATTACAGTTGTCCAATACATGCTAAGCGTAAGTCCTTCTGTGTTTTAGTTTGTTACCATATGGTAAAGTGTGGTAAGCTATGGTTTCATGTTATAAAAATGGAGCAAAACATAAGTCCTGTTGTGGTTTACTTCGTTACCATATGGTAATGTGTGGTAAGCAATGGTTTCATGTTATAAAAATGGAGGAAACCATAATTCTTGTTCTGTTTTACTTTGTTACCATATGGTAATGTGTGGTAATCTATGGTTTCATGTTATAAAAATGGAGGAAAACATAAGTCCTGTTGTGTTTTAATACGTTACCATATGGTAATGTGTGGTAAGCAATGAATTCATGTTATAAAAATGGAGGAAACCATAATTCTTGTTCTGTTTTACTTTGTTACCATATGGTAAGGTGTGGTAAGATATAGTTTCATGTTATAAAAATGCAGAATAGTGATAATAATTGCCAATACCATGTATTACCACCATGGTAACTAACCATACTCCCATTATGCAGGCTGAGAATGCAATCAAATTGCTTGAAGCATCAATGAAGGCAATGATGAAAGCAATAAAAGACCAGTACAAAAGCCAAATTGAAAATTTGATCAGACACAAGGAGAATCTTGCGAAAGAAAGCTGTGATGAATATGTTCAGCCCACAGAAGAAGAAAAATCTCAGTGTGAAGATGATGAAGAAGAGAATGATGAAGAAATGCATGACAGTTTGAATAAAACACTCAATGAAATATTCAAACAGACAAACATAGACCAGAACGAAGAGGAGAACGAGGAGCAAACACAGAAAGAAGATGATTCACAACCATCTACAGTCGATCTTGCTGCATCTACACCGAAGCCAAAAGAAAAGGAGCAAGATGATTCTGCTCCAGGAGCTGTGAATAGGGAAAGCATCCCAAAAGAAGGAGATCCACTGGGGGAAGTTGCAACAGAGGACACCCAGAAAGCAGTTCCAGAACAGACATCTGCAGAAGAAACCGAAGAAAAAGGAGCTACCAAAACAGCAGATCCAATGGAAGTTGATAAGGAAACAAGAGAAGAATGGAATACAGGGCAAGCTGCACAAAAGACTGCAGAAACTGACAGCGAGAAGACGGTGTCAGATGATGTTGTTCGTGAAGAGGCTCCAAAACTGACAACCGAAGCTGCTGAGAAGCCTAAAGTGACGAGGGAAGACGACATTCCATCCTTTGATCTCAGCCCTCTCAACCGTCAAACACCAACAACACCAACAAAGTTAACTACCAACACGGCAACCGATCAACCAGCAGAGCCTCGCAAAAGAAGAATCGTGATAAAGAATGTACACGGAAATGAAAAGAAGGCAAGAGCAACACCACCACCAGAACAGCCACAAAGCACCCAGTCACAGACGGGGTCATATGCTATATGGTCAAATCTGTACACAAACAGCCAAGAGAAGCTCAAGGAAGTCCGTGAATGCATAGATGCTTATCTAGAGGACCTGAATTCTCCAGCTGCCGAACCAGTTGCTCCACAGTCACAAAAATCACCAGTTGAATGGTCAACACCAACACAAACAACACCTGATGATATGTTCAGCAACATCCTGGAGTACATAAGATGCAAAAACAAGAAATTTGCCAAGAGGTAAGTCATCATCTTAAAACTTCTACTGTTATATGATGTTACTGTAGTGATCTAGTTTGTTACCATATGGTAAAATATGGTAAGATATGGTAAAATTAGATAAATCTATGGTTTAATGTTACAAAATGTAGTAATGCACAAGTCCTGTTTTGTTTTAGTTTAATACCATATGGTATGATGTGGTAAGCTAAGGTTTGTTGTTAAAGAATGGATTAAACCATAACGCCTGTTCTATTTTACTTATTACCATATGGTAAGATGTGGTAAGCTGGTGTGTTTTACTTATTACCATATGATAAAATGTAGTAAGCTGGTGTGTTTTACTTATTACCATATGGTAAGATGTGGTAAGCTGGTGTGCTTTACTTATTACCATATGATAAGATGTGGTAAGCTATGGTTTTGTTGTGGTAACCTATTGTTTGATATCATAAATTAAAGTAAACCATCCGTCCTGTTGTGATGTGCTTGTATACAGTGATGAGATAATGTTTAAAAGGAAGGATGGAACATTCATGCTGAAAAGGGAGTCAGTACAGTCGATTGACATTGGCTGTGAAATCACATCTGATGTCATCGGCTGGTATGGAGATGTAATGAACAGGAATGAAGCAAAAAAAGGAAAATTCACAAGGTGGTTCTTCGATACATCTTTGGCAGTAACTAAACCCACCCATATTCTGTCAAAAGTTCTTAGACAACACATATATAAAACACATAATAACAACCACAAATTTCAGGGTGACTGCCAACTGGACATTGATAGTGGCAATCCTGTACTATCTCCAGACGATTACTACAACAAAGTGGACTTGGACATCACCAACAAAGAATGGGCCAAAAACCTCAGCTTCACAGAATGTAACCTTGTAAGTATCTCACCACAATTTTTGCAGTGGTTACCATATGGTATATAGTGGTAAAATTAGTTTGCAATTGTTCTTAACTTAACTTACTGTTCATCACTTATATGGCACCTGCTTACCATATGGTATACTGTGGTAAAATTATTTTGCAGTGGTTCTTCCCTTACTGTAATAACAAGCACTACATCATGATTTGTGTCAACATCAAAGCAGAGAGATTTGAAGTGCTCGACAGTCTCCGTCACAAAGATTTTGAAAAAACATACAAATCAATGGCAGAGAGGGTTGTCCAGTACGCAATCAACTACATGAAGACACAGTTTGCAGACAAGACAGTAAGGTGGGAGAGGTTTAGCTGGTTCAAGCTCGAGAAGGTTACACAACCAGATCAAATTTCATGTGGGATGTACGTCATCAGGTGGATGAGACACTGGGAAGGTAAGTACAACAGTGCCATGACCAAAGATTGGAAGAGGATTGATCTCATAATGAAGAAAGGGAGTGCCTGATGTTGGACATCATTCTTGATGAAGAAAATCTTGAACGGGAAAGGATCATGAAAGAAGCAACAAAGTACTGCAACATGAAGAACAAGAAGAAAGAGTTGAAAGGAAGGAAATGAAAATTCTATTATCATTTGTGTTAAGTAGTAGAAGGGTATGAGTAAGCTTTTGAGAACAAACTCACAATGTTCAGTAGCCACTTCATTTTAATTAGTAGGATGGTATGAAACAACTTATTATGGTTTGTATTATGACTAAAAGAAATGTTCTGTTTTTTATTATGTTAGCAAATACTTAACATGTGTTCTTAATTCCCAAATTACCACATTTTACCATATGGTAATGTGTGGTAAATTATGATTGCATGTTGTAAAATAACAAAAAACCATAAGTCCTGCTGTGTTTTGCTTCGTTACCATATGGTAATGTGTGGTAAATTATGATTGCATGTTGTAAAATAGCAAAAAACCATAAGTCCTGCTATCTTTTAGTTTGTTACCATATGGTAATGTATGGTAAATTATGGTTTCATGTTGTAAATAAGCAAAAAACCATAAGTCCTGCTGTGTTTTAGTTTGTTACCATATGGTAATGTGTGGTAAACTATGGTTTCATGTTGTAAAATGTTGCAAAATAGCAAAAAACCATAAGTCCTGCTGTGTTTTAGTTTGTTACCATATGGTAATGTGTGGTAAACTATGGTTTCATGTTGTAAAATAACAAAAAAACCATAAGTCCTGCTGTGTTTTAGTTTGTTACCACATTTTACCACATGGTAATGCACTGTAAAATCAATTACCACACATACCACTTCCAAAAAACCATATTTTACCACATGGTATGGCATGGTAAAAATAAATTACAACACTATACCATATGCTATGGCAAGGTAAAATCAAATTACCACACTATACCATATGGTATGGCATGGTAAAATCAATTATCACACAGAACCCTCACATTTAACTTCCTAATTATCACATTTTATCACATGGTAATGTACTGTAAAATCAATTACCACACATGCCACATCCAAAATATCATATTTTACCACATGGTAAAATCAATTACCACACATTACCACATGGTAAAATCAAATTACCACACTATACCATATGGTATGGCATGGTAAAATCAATTATAAAACAGAACCTTCACATTCAACTTCCAAACTAGCACATTTTACCACCTGGGTTGACATGATAAAATCAAATTACCACATTATACCACATGGTATAACATTGTAAAATTAATCCAACAAAACCAAAAACCAATCCAAAAGAACAAAATAGCTTCAACAACTCAACCAGCATCAACCATTCATTCAGATAATCCTCTAAGAAAACTATTACAGCTTCAGCCTTAAACTTTCTTCAACAGCCTTCAAATTCTCCTCCTCAAGCCTGCTAGTTTTTCTCTTCTTCTTGCTTACAGCCCTTGCAGCCTCCGCAGCTGGAATTGGTCGTTTCGAAGGCTTGAATGAATCTTTTTTAGGTTTAAACCCCTTCACTTTTTGGACCGGTACATCATCTATACCAAGATAACAAAAACAAACTACAATCAATGACAGATAACAAAAACAAAAACAAACTCTAAACAATATAAAAAAAACTTACTGTCACCGTTAGAAGACGTGCTTGTTCCAGCAGTTCAGTAATCGATAGGGCTTCACACTTTTGATCAAATCAGTCATGAAGGCCATGGCTGATTTATACAAATCATCATCCAATGCAACCCTGCTGATCATTGATGCAGAAACAGCTGACAGATTGAAAAGACGAGAACGGTATTTCGATGGACTATCAGTAGACGGAACTTCAAAAGAAAAGTTCCCTCCAGTTTTCGCTGCCCTTGTCCACCGCTTCAAAATCAAACTGCTAGGAATGTGCTGGAACTTCAGATTGCACGTTGTAGACCACAACATATCATATCCCTTAATTTGATGCTTACAGATCATACCACTTGACTCCCACTTACGGCAAGAACACTTGATTTCACCGTTTTCAAAATCAACCTTCAACACCCTACTATCCAACCTTGTAAGGTCATCCTCCAATATGAAGACATCAAACAGTCCTACATGTCCTTCTGGTTCTATCTCCGTATTGGAAAAATTATTATACGCAAGGAATTCCTTGTACTGATCCAGGAAAAACTTGAATATCTTCGGCGTATACACATTAGCAACTTGCTTCACAATAGGGCTAGTAGAAAACCGAGAATCAGCCAACCTAGATAAGGCATAGTACTCTTCTTGTTCTTCAGCATCCCTCTTATTATCAAGCATCCTCTCAAAGTGCACAAAGAACCTACTAACGCTAAACTCTGACTGCAAGTAATGTCGAATATTACTATTGCAGCACTCACTTAGCTGGGTACTCTTCATTCCCGCACCAAAATGACAATTCACCCAGGCTGAAGACCACTTCGTCCTGACTTTGTAAATGCCCTGTAACCAACTGTGTCCCAAAGGTCCCTTCCCAGGAAAACACTTCTTAATCATCTTCTTCCAATTATACTCAAAATCATCCTCATCATCAGCATTATACATCAAATAACTAAGCTCACGAAGGAAGTCAGAGTCACACAAACTTCCCAGATTAACAACTGCATTCTGAGCAATATGCCATGTACACAACCCATGAAAACAATCTGGGAAAAAAGACCTTATACCAGCAGCAATTGCAGCAGCCTGGTCAGTAAACATTGATAACGGTCTCACACCTCCCATGCATTTCAAAAACTGATCGAAAAGCCATTCAAATGTTGCCGTTGTTTCATCATAGAGAAGAGCAGCCGCAAAGACAGTCAGTTGGTGATGATTGTTGAAACCAACAAACAAAGCTACATAAACATAACAAAATGTGAGTAAAAACAATTCTACCAACACATACCATGTGGTAAAAGGTACGAATAACAATAATACCAACCCATACCATATGGTAAAGACTCATACCATGTGGTAAAGACTTCTAAGAACAAAAAAAAAAAACAATCCACACCAGACTACCATATAGTACACACTTCTAACAACGCAAAAAACACCACAAATAACCTTGTTACCAACCCATACCATATGGTAAAAGACTTTTAAGCACAAAAACCACCTCAAATAACCTTGTTACCAACACATACCATATGATAAAATACTTTTAAGAACAAAAACCACCTCAAATAACCTTGTTACCAACACATACCATATGGTAAAAGACTTTTAAGCACAAAAACCACCTCAAATAACCTTGTTACCAACACATACCATATGGTAAAATACTTTTAAGAACAAAAACCACCTCAAATAACCTTGTTACCAACACATACCATATGGTAATACATTTAAGAACAAAAAAAAAAACATGATACAGAATGATAATAATAATACTCATACAAACTAACAAACACAATAATAAACAACAAACTAGAAAACATACCTAGTGGCCGATACTCTTTGTTAGTCCGGTAAGTAGTATCAAAACTAATTGAATCACCAAAATAATGATAATCCATCCTCATCTTCCCATCTGCCCAAAAAATACTAGCAATGTTCTCTTCAACATCAACCTCCACCTCATGAAAGAACCCAGGATCCAGCTGTGCTTGACGTCTAAAGTATTCAAGCAATGCAGTCACATCACCATACTCCATTGATGACGTCCTAACCGTTCGCAGATGGTTCTTCAAATCATTCTTTGTGAACCCAACAAACTTCCGACCACCACCAGCCCTACTAATTGCATTATACGAAGAAGTCACACCAATACCAGCAGCATCATTCACCTCTGCCAACATCTTATACACAGGAGCCATTCGTCTGCTGGATCTCACATAGTGACGCAGAGACTCAGGAATCATGTCATGGTTGTACACATTATACCAACGATAGATCTTGTAGCATTTAAACTCTTTAAACCACCTCAGTCGTATATAAGCACCATTACATCCACCCCTGAGTTCTGGAACATTACGAACACGAACCGTCGTATCAACAACACCTGCATTATCAGGGTTATTCTCGCTACCTCTTTTCCAACCTTCCTTATTGCAACAATACTTGATATAATATACAGCTGAAGAACCACCATTGAGCTTCGGACACGCTGATTGGTTATAAATCCTCACACCAAAACCTTCATGATTCCCATAATCAACATAAAAATTATATGCATCATCTGGTGTATTGAACTCTAAGTCCTTCCAAGAATCACGAACAGTAGGATCTATACCATTGAAACCTACAAACATTATGAAACAACATATTAAATGGATTCCACACCACAACAGTATGAAATCTCAATGTATATCAATAATTACAGCCATGATACAAGAGTTACCACCATGGTATGGCATGGTAAAATCAAATTACCACACTATATGGCATGGTAAAATCAAACTACAACACTATACCACATGGTATGGCATGGTAAAATCAATTATCACACAGAACCCTCACATTTAACTTCCTAATTACCACATTTTACCACATGGTAATGTACTATAAAATCAATTACCACATGATAAGGCATAGTAAAATCAAATTACGACACTATACAAACTTCAATAAACAAACAAATTTGCATATCTTACCTCCTGATTCACCAGAGTTAGCTGAATGATCAAATCCAAGATCAATAGATGAAGAAGCAGTTCCAACAGCACTAGATGAAGAACCAGATCCTACAACGCTGGTTGAAGAACCAGATCTATCAATTGGAACAACATCGCCACAATTTACGTTACTCATCTCACCAGAATACTGCCAAAACACCAAAACACAAAGAACATAACACATGAACAAGCTCGATTAGCTAAACATAAACAAGCTCGACTAGCAGCAATGAAAAACCTCCAACGAAACCAGAGATCAACAGAAAACTCGATTAGCTAAACAGAAAGAATCAAAAAAACTAATATCTAACCTCGTCGTCGATCAATTATGGAGAATCAAAAAAGATTCGCCGTCCCCTGTTTCGCAGCGGCTGCTCGCAATTTCTCTCTACAAAAACCGAATCCAACTCGCGCACACGTCGATCAATTATGGAGAATCAGAAAGCTCGATTCGAAGCTGCTGCTCGCAGTTTCTATCGCCTTCAATCAACAATGGAGAATCGCCGTCCTTATTTCTCAGCTGCTGCTCCCCCTGCTCGTAGTTTCTCTCTCCAAAATCCGAATCCAACTCACGCACAGAAAGATT